CATTCCTGCGCTCCCTTGTCCTGGAAACTTCTCAGCTCTGTCTCTGCCACATCTCCTGTGCTGCCCTCTCCCCCCGCCCCTCCTCCTCCCTTTCCCACCCAGATCCTTGTCAGCCCCTCACTGCTCCTGCAGCCCCCCTCGCTGACTCCCCATGAGCTTCTCATGCTGCTCCTACCCCTTGTGCTAGCTGCCCTGTCCTGTCCTGTCCTTCAGCCCCTCTGTTCCCTGCAATAGTCCCTGTGCTCCCCCTCAACCCTTCCCCTGCTGTTTTTCCCTGAGATCCCCTCCATTTCTCTGTCAACAGCCCTTCATCTGGGGTTCTCCCTATCCCCACTTGCCTGCTGTTTTAGTGAGAACCGAACCTGGGACCTCTGGATTAGTGTGTCAGCAGCTTGAGCTAAAAGCCAGCTGGTTCTCTGCAACATCTTGTTCCCTACTGCTCAGTCCCTCCTGGATATCTATAAATCCCACTAACCACAATTCCTGCTAATCCCAGTCTCCTGCAAACCTCCCCTCATGCACTCCCTCCAATGCCCTGCATCCTCTGTGTCCATCTCTTGGATCCCCTGCAAATCTCCTCCCCAGAAAAATCCTCTGCAACTCACCCCACCAGCTGCCCACCACAGATCTTATATCCTCCCCCCAATCTTCTGCCACGCACCCTCTTATGCTTGTCACTACCCCCCTGGGATCTCCTTCAACTTCCTCCCCAAGATACCCTGCAATTCCCCTATCTTCCCCCCACCCATGTCCTGCAAACAATCCCCCAGCTCTACTGCCCTGTCCCCTGAAAACATCCCCCCCCTTTAGCCCTCCTCATCTTCCCACACAAAGATCTATAGTTCTCAGGCAGCCCTTTCTCCCCTCAAACAACCCTCATTCCTTTCTCTACCTTCACCATCCTCTAACTGCCCATCCATGGCTGCCTGATTGGGGGGCCACAAACTGTACTCTGCTCTGCAACCCATTTTGCCCCGCCCGGCCCCTACTCCACCCCTTCCCCAAGCCCTGTCCCTGCCTTGCCTCCAATGCAACCCTTTCCCAAAGCCCCTGCCTCCAGGTGATGCTATCTGTGAGATTACAGGGGGTTTGGCATAGGGCAGCAGCAAGGGTCAATGGACCCAGCAGCATTTTCTCTTCTGCCCTGCTACCCATCTCCTAGCTGAGTCACTCCATTTCCTGCTGTTGCAGCGAAGTGGAACCAGAGTCACTCCACTTCCTGCTGCTGCAGTGAAGTGGAGCGAGCTAACTGGGAGATGGCGGCAGAGTGGAGCAGGCTGCCTGTGAGTGGGATAGGGATGCCAACCTTTGCTACTGCCCAGAGCCAGCCCTCCTCCTCTCCCCCTCCCCCAAGTTATCCTTCAGACCCATCCTGGACCTTGTGGGCTAATGTCATTATGAGGGACCATCCCGTCTGTAGGACGGGTGGGGCAGCTACAGCAGGCTCTGGGGTTTGTCTGCACATGGGAAAATTAATCTGGAATAAGACAGGATGTGAAGTTATAGTGGCTCATAACTATCTGTAACCCACTGTTTCTTCTTTGTCCTGTGACTGTAGTAGAGTTAGTTGCTCACTTCTCTCTGCGGGTGTGTCTATACAGCACTCTTCACTCAGAATTAGCTACACAAATTGCGCTACGCAAATTGCATAGCTTATTTTGAGTGTATTTCAAAATAACTCACTATTCCAAAATGCCCCATAACCCTCATGGAACAAGGGTTACCAGGACGTCGGAATAAGCGGCCTGTGATTTCAAAATTGATTTCGAAATAACGGGCTGCTTCAATAGACATGGAATAGCTATTTTGGGATACTTCCGGTATCCCGAAATAGCTCTGCAGTGTGGATGTATCCTGAGTGGCCGCTTGCAATACATGTTTACTCCTTACCTGTTCTACACTTGTATTTAGCTGTAACACTCCGAATGCCTTTCCCAGAACTGAAGAAGAGCTCTGCATATACTTGAACAGTTGTCTTTCATCAGCTGAAGTTAATCCAATAAAAGATACTGCCTCACCCATCTTGCCTGTTTGGTATCCTGGGACCAATATGACTACAAGATCACTGCAGTTTACTATGGGTTCACTACTCCTGATTTTAACTCCCTGTCTGGATGCACTTATTCCAGAATAAACCTGCCTTGTTCTGGATTAGTTTAAACCTGAAAAAGGCATGCTTATTTTGGACTAAGTATCCCTAGAGAGAGTTAACCAGAAGTAATTAATTCACTTGAAATTCTCACACACTGTATCTTGTTCTGGATTAACTTCCATATGTAGATACAAAGCTAGTAGCAACAGAGGGGGCAGATGGAATTTGTATCTCTGTATGCCCTAGCAAAGTGGTTTTAAATCTTTATTGGCGGACTCCTAAACTTTGAATGGGTCTTTGTTTTATTCTATAGTTACAAGAGTAGTTTAAAAAAAAAAATCAAAGGTACTTTACTTTCATACTGAATTCTTGCTTTACCCTTGCCCCCAAAATTGGTCCATGTGGCAAAATTGTCCGTGTGTTTAATGAGGGACAAAGAGCCTTTTCCTCTCTGGAAGGAAAGCAGGATTTCAAAATGCGATGAACCGTTACCGGCTCGTTAATGAATCCTGTGCTTTAGCATTTCCTTTGAGGAGACTATTCTGCTTACCTGTTTCAGAATTGAAGATAATGAGAATTTAATGGTGGAAGTGGATGTGCCTTATTGAAATACTGGGCTTATTTCTCCTCTCCTCCCCTCCCCCCCATTTAATCAGTTAATGTGATATTTGGAAACCAAGTTATTGACACGCACATGTTAAGTTAGCCCAGGTAATGGGAACCTGTGCTTACCCTTATGTAACTTTAATTTCTTTATGCCTAAGTTCTCATATGGCTCTCAGCACCTTGCTGTCTGAGCACTTCCTAATGCAACAGCAGGCTGATTTGCTTGTTTTAATAACTGTGCAGTGCTGTTTTAAAACATGACTAAATGTTTGTGTCCCTGCAACGTGCTTATATAAAGACCTTTTAGTTGTATATCCTGAAGCAGAGAGAGGCCTTGTAATTTAACAAGCCTGAGCTAGAGATTGGTAGTAATGGTTTTATTGAATAGGCTGCTTGTTACAATGATGAGACTAAACGTGTTACTGTTTCAAATGGTAGGCCCTTTGCTTGTCTGTTTGATCTGCAACTAGTTTTCATCTCTTATTGTTAGTTTGACCATCTTCCATGTCAGTCACTTCTTAGCAAGATGGCTGCCACCAACTTATGTTTCCGAAATGGCAATTTTTTACTTCAGATTTAAACCCGGGTGAAGATCAGAGCAGTAATTTTGGGAAAGGGGCTGTGATCTTTGAACACAGGAACGAGGCATATTTCTCCAATTGACCTTCTAATCCTAGCAGTAGTATTTGTATGTGTTGTAATTGCTGTTCACATAAAGACAGATAGTAGCTCCCTGACACATTCAGATACTTTCAAGCAAGGTAAAATGTGAGGCTACTTTTGTGCATCAGAGTTCCAACAATCCTCCTTATCAAAGCCTTACTTTAGAAAGGTTTAGATAATTCTGATTTTTATATTTGGCACGCTATTTATCCAAGGGCAACTGTAGTGGGTCTTGCAACAGTATTCTTTATAGAACTGGTGTTGTCACCGAATGCAGCAAATGTTTCCGTACCACTCACAGTTTAGATGGTTTTCATTACTTGTAACTAAGGGCAAAGCTAGCAGTCTTTGTAAGTGGGGAAATTTGATAGCAATACCGCTCTGGCTGTTATCATGTACCAACCAATCGCAACCCTGACAACATTGCAGGGTTAGATTCTCCATTAAGGGAGTTCTAGTACTGCATTTGCAATCACGTTTGCATGACACAGTGGAGCACCATTTCGTTTGTAGTGCAGGAGGGACCTTAGCGGCCTCCCAATGCTTTAACCTGTGGCCCATCTGTGTTCTGCCTGCAGCTCTTGATCCCTCCCCCTCCCTCTGGGCACTTTCCCTGGGGGCATGTCTACATTGCATTCCTCTTCCGAGAGAGGAATGCAAATGCAGACAAGCAAAATTGTAAATGAAGCGTGGATTTGAATTTCCCGTGCTTCATTTGCAAAA